ACAGCAATGATAGGCGCTTCATCCCTATCCAAAGTTGTCCCATTGTCCACTGTTATGAAGGTCGTCACCTTCAAATTTCCCACCTCATTGAAACTGATGATGACCCAGTCCCAAAAGGTTGCAGCAATTATGCTTGGGAAATCAAAGGTTGCAGCTCCGGCGGGCATGGGGCTAAAATCCTCTTTCTTTAAGACAGCTGCTTCTACGGGGAAAATTAAGGCAGTGGCCCATGGCTTCATAACCTCAGCTCAAAAAACTAGTTTCTCAGCTATGAGAAGTGCTTTCTATGAGATTATGAGGAAACGACATGTACGCCCGATTGGGTTTTTACCGTGGGCCACGTTTGGGTGCAGTGTGGCCACCTGCTCAGGATTAATTGTTTATGGGGATGGGATTGAGTGCGCTGCCGAGTCACTTCCCTCTGCTCCTTCAATTGCAAGTTTGGGTCGTGGGATTCGGAGTTTGCACGAGGCCTCTAAGGCTGTGGGGCACTTTAGAGTCCCTTCTTCACAGTTAAGAACATAAAAAGTCAGATACCTTTCTTTTGTGAGGCACTTTTATATTGGCCATGTTTGCCATTGCTTTTCGCCCCAGTCTTTTGGCGCCTCCGGTTTGCAAACAGTGGTGGGAGTTTTTAGGGGTTTGCAGAAACAACTTCTGTATCTTTTGCGGATCGGTGATTCGTTGAAGCAAAGAGCAACCCCCACCCCCCACCCACCCACACCTCAAAATTGTTGTGTACATGTGATTGAGTATAGAGAGCCTTGCTATTGCAAGCACCTTCAACTAAGGAAGATTTTATTTTTCCAAGTAGGGGATAGATAACAAATTAACATGTAATAGTAACCTGCACAGATGTATCAAAGAACTCAATATACATCAGACACTCTGCTGTCTTGAAGGTGGAAATTACAAATTGCAAAAACTTGAGGGATGTATTCTGCAATTTACTCTGCATTATGCTTTGCTTTATTTATTTGCATGAGCCCCTCCTGTATTGGGTTGACCACATTTTGATTAGGGGATGGTACATATCCTTGGGCTTCTCACTTGAGGAGCCTATGGCTAAGTTGACCATGACTATTTGTGGGTGTTTTATTGCATGGATAAGCATAATATGATTTCAACAATATTTTTATTAGCTTGATTCGGCTTGGATTACAAATTTACAATGTAGGTTCCATCCTCTATTAAAGTCTCATTTTGCTACATACATGGCATGTAGATTGTGCGCTATGCCATTGGCATGATTGGCTAGACGTGCGTCAATTGTGGGCGAAGAATCAGTCGTCAATAATTCACGATCAGTAGGATTGACGCTCCACTTCTATTTTTGCTTTGAACTGCAACTCAGACCTACAACGGTACTCCCTCCGGCCCAATCAACACGCAGACCGGGTCATGGCATAAATTCGGCCCCTTCTGTATATCGGGTTTTGGATCCACGCGTTTGGACCTACCAGTTCCACTCGCTCGGCCTGATATCCATCAATATATTTTCACTTCCACTCTATCAATAAATTTTTGAAATCTTATCAAGATTTAGATTTTTTTCTCATTTCTTTTTTTAAAATGTGTGATTTATATTTTTTCTACCTTCTAAATAAATGATACTTCTAAATAAATCATACGGAGTACAATTTCATGTTTTAGAAATTCTATCAAGTCAATATGAGTACTTAAGAGAGTACATCATTTATATTTCATTTGCCCCCTTGATTTTTCATCACTACTATTTATATGATCAAATTATAATTTTTTCTGTATACATGTTTTAATCCATAATTATACAACCATGTCACTCGAGGGAGTAAACTCTGTTCTAAAATGTTTGCCATATTATGTAAAAGAAAATGAAAATTTAAATTTTTTTTATCTCATTTTATTTAGAGATTGATATAAAAATAAAAAATAAAATTTATATATTTAAAAAACTACGTTAAAATTTTTTAAAGAAAAATACACAAGAATACTTTATTTTATCAAGTAATCGATGAAAGCTAGAAATAAACAAAAATTTGTACTACCTCCATCCCTGAGTATTTGTTCAGTTTTATTTTTTTCTGGTAAACAGTTTTCGACATTTGACCTATAATTAAATAAAATGTATATTGTAAATTAATTAGATAAAATAATATTTTGAAAATATTTGATATAATAAATAAAAAACTAATTTTATAAATTCAGAATAAACAAATACTCAAAGATAGGAGTATAGTTTTTAAACGTGACATTCTTTTTAAACAAAAAATGTGAAAAAGGGTATAAAAGTTAGAAGAACTCCGGCAGCATTGCTGGGGAAAGTCACCAATGTGGCGGTGTTCGACGCCGAGGGATGATGGGGAGCAGCAACCTAAACGCGGTGTTCTACGCCAAGGAGTACCACCCGATTCAGTCCGGCAGCATCGACGGCACCGATATTCTTCCCCACGACAGCGCTGTTTACCGGGCACTTCTCTGCTCCAATGCCGCCCTCTGTAATCTCTCTCTATCTCTCTCCCCCCACCCCACTATTTCCCCCCTTCTTCTATAAAATTTTCTCAATTTCTGCACTTTTCCCC